CCCCCCCCCACCCCCCCCCCAAAAAAAAAAAAAAAAAAAAAAAAAAAAGATGGAGTAGATGGTAGCCCTGTTTTATCAGGGGAAGGGACTACGGACTACTGTGCGTTAATGGCAGAGTGGGGAATATTCTCTCAGCTCTTTGGTAGCTGTTTCAGGAGTGTATTATTTGTTTCTTAAACTGTTAAATAAGATTTGGAGGTGTTGCATGTGTTGTGTCTTCAGTCTCTCTTCTAGTTTTGTAGTGGATCCATCAATGCCAACAGCAGCTGCCAAACCAAAAACTGGATTTCATTTTTTGGTCCCAAAAACAATGGTCCCTTTTTTCTAGGTAGTAAAGTAGGAGGAGTTTACAATGGACATTGACATTTACCACTGGATCTGAGATACTTTAGGTTTGCTGTTTAAAATCAGTTGTATGCTAAATGACCTACATCTGACTGACTTCGCACTGTGGCATCTAAGTTTAATGTTGTGCCTATTTCTTCAGGTTTTCACGTGGGTACGGTTCACCTACTAAATGATAATCAGAGATACATATAAAGATAATCTAACTATGTTTTTGTTGTTTCTCTCAGAATGGGAGGTATTCCAGCTAAAACCCATAAGGAAGAAAAGTTGCTTCTGTTTATGGGCATTATTGATATTCTCCAGTCCTACCGGTAAGATGAATTGCAGATTTTTATTGTGTAAGCTATTCTGAAATTATTTACCAATGGAGAAGTTTTATAAAGCAATTCTGATTTTGTTTTTATGTGCTTAGATTAATGAAGAAGCTGGAACATTCTTGGAAAGCTCTTGTTTATGATGGGGTAAGTAGATTTTATTTATTTTTTTTTTAACTGATGATATTTTAGCTAATGGACCTTTGACTTACGTTGACCAGGAAAGAGCTAGCTCAGGTGTATTTGTAGTCTACCATCACCACATTGTTTGGGCTGTTGCTGAAATCTTTTAAGTCCATTTCCCAATGCATGCTGTGATTTTATTTGTTGATCTTAAAAAAGCAACCAAATGATCGTTTTATCCTTCTGACTTGCACAAGACAATGGCCACATAACAGGACATTGATGAATCTGTAACAAAAAATTGTACATAATGTGAAAAAAGCATTTCAGATGTTATGAAGATTTTGCAGAATATGACTGCATTATTCATAACTCACAATTTCATAAATGAAATACTTAAAAGTTCTTGAACAATTAACCTTTAAAAAGAAAAAAACTTGTTAGGTTTCACTTCTTTTGAATATGCATGAAATGTATGATATAGTTTTGAGATGTCCAGCTTCATTCCTGACAATTTACTTGTCATACACTTATGGAAAATGTGACTGAGACCTTTTTCAATCTTGTAGGATACTGTTTCAGTTCACCGACCAAGTTTTTACGCAGACAGATTTTTGAAGTTTATGAGTACAAGAGTTTTCAAGAAAGTTCAAGGTAAGACTTTTACTTTTCTATGTATTTATATAATCATTACTTTATAATGCTCCTGTCCTGGCAATAGAAGAATCCTTTCTTCAACATCATGTAGCACTTACATTGCTAGAAGGTGAGTTTCTTCAGTGGAGCTAATGGGATCATACTCAATAGTAAAATTACAGAGAATTATTTGCTATTTATTTTTTGTCACCACGTTACAGGCATCTGAACGTAAAACAGATTCCTGTATATTAGCATTGATATAAAGATAAATTTAATGATCTAATGTTGTGTCCAATCCTGCATCTGTTATTCGTGGGAATACTCCCACTGATTTTGGTATCTTTAATTTGCAGAAGATTGTTACATGCAATGTTCGAAAAGCATGTTGGAGAAGACAGGCATTCTTCACTTTGATATGGATTTCTTATGTGCTTTATCAAGGAAAAATATCAGAAGTTGGATATTAATGAAGTCCTTTGTCTTTTTCACTATCACCTGTTTCTAGTTTTCCCCTCCTTTTCTCCTTTCTTACTTTTTAATTAATTTTCAAGGTTAAGCTACATATCACTATTAGCTACTTACAGGGTATGGTGGGTTGCCCTTGGCTGGATAGCAGGTGCCCACCAAAGCCACTCTATCACACTCCCTCCTCAACTGGATGGTGGGAGAAAAATACAACAAAAAGCTCATGGATCTTGATAAGGACAAGGCAATCTCTCACCAGCTACCGTCATAGGTAAAAGAGACTCAACTCAGGAAAATTAATTTAATTTATTACCAATCACATCAGAGTAGGGAAATGAGAAATGAAACCAGATCTTAAAACACCTTTCCCTTACCTCTCCGTTCATCCTGGTCTCAAGTTCACTCACAATTTCTCCTCCTCTGCCCCCCAGGCAGTGCAGGGGGGACAGGGAATGGGGGTTGTGGCCAGTTCCTCACATGGTGTCTCTGCCA